GAGTTTTAAAATGATCTTTAGGGGACCAGCTGATTGTGTGATAGTTCAGATGCTGTATCCCACATAACCAACTCCATGATTTGAATCCAGATGGCTTGGAAAACACATGGAGTACATGTGTGCATGCCCAAAATCCCAAGAGGAGAATGGAGAAGGGATTGTGGTGTGGCCATCTTCCCCCGGGGTTGGGTGATTCTCACCTTTTCTCTCTCTAGTGAGCACAAGCACCCTTTGGCAAGAATCTTTAAAAAAAGAAAAGGATTTTTCGGTTGGAATTCTCTCAGGATATTTTCGATGATATTAAATCATATGTCAAAATTGGGAACCAGTAGTTAGCGTAATGGCTATGTCGCTGGACTCCCACGTAGTCGACCGCGGTTCGCGTCCCAGACCCGGTGGCTTAAAACTCACGCCAGGCGCATGTGCGTGCATGCCCAAGATCCTAAGAGGAGAATGGAAGAGAGGGGATTGCAGCGTGGCCATCCCCCCTGGGGGGTGATTTCTCGTTTTCTGTCTCTGTGTCTCTCTCTGTCTGTCTGGTGAGAGCACGCACCCTACAGAGAAAAGCTCTCCAAAAAAAAAAAAATCATATGTCAAAATAGATTCTATCCAGGACGAGCAGATGGAGTAATGGTTATGTAGCTGGACTCCCACATAGTCGACTGCAGTTCGAGTCCTAGACATGGCAGCTTAAAATTCACGCTGGGCACTTCTGTGTGAGTGACCAAAATCCCAAGAGGAGAATGAAGGAGAAGGGATTGTGGCATGGCCATCCCCCTGAGGGTACTTTTTTGCTTTCTGTCTCTCTGTCTCTCTAGAGAGCACAGGTGCCCTATAGCAAAAATCTCTCTAAAAAATTTACATATATTAATACATACATCTATATGTATATATATTAATAATATGTATATATATGTAGTATATATAATATATATATGTACTGATTTGCCCTCTTTTAAAAATATTCTCAGTATGGGGCCAGCAGGTAGTATGTTGATTAAGGTGCTGGACTCCCATATGGCCGACCTTGGTTCAAGTCCTGTTCCTGCCAGCTTGCTTTCTCTCTCTCTCTCTCTCTCTAGTTAGTGCATGTGACTTGTAACAGATTAAAATAATAATAATAATAAAATTACCTAAATAATTCTTGAAAAAAATTCTTAGTAAAATAATTAGGTTTCAAAATGCTGCCTGCCAATTTCCCTTCCTAGAGTAATAGTTAAAAAGCATGAGTTCTACTGTTTAAAAAAAAGAAGAAAAGGAAAAACTTGTTTAATTTTGTTTACTTTACATTTCCTCATTTCCCCTGTAAGTAACAGCTATTAATACCGTACAGACCTGGTGTTTGCACAACTGTTTGAGGAACTTCCTTTCCCCTTCCCCCAGTTAAAAAAAAAAAATCATAGGTAGGCCTGCGTATTTCTTACAGAACAAAGTTTCTTTCTTCTCATGTGTTATATCTGTGGATATTATCAGGGATCCTGCTGTTTAATATAAATTCTACATATTTTCTTTTTATGGAAATAAGATGCTTCCAGGATATACTCCTGCCTTAAAAACAGGGCACATAGAAGGGACCAGCGGTTAGTGTAATGGCTTTGTCGCTGGACTCCCATGTAGTCAACCGCAGTTTGCGTCGCAGACCCAGTGGCTTAAAACTCAAGCTGGGCACGTGTGCGTGTGTGCCCAAGATCCCAAGAGGAGAATGGAGGAGAAGGGATTGCGGCGTGGCCATCCCCCCTGGGGGGTGATTTCTCGCTTTCTGTCTCTCTGTCTCTCTCTGTATGTCTGGCAAGCGCACACACCCTATAGCAAAAACCTCTCAAAAAAAAAAAAAGAAAAAAAAAAAAAAGTAATAAAAAAAAAATAGGGCCCATATTGATTACCAGCCATATTTTAGAGACTTTATTCTACCAGTGATTTTCGTTTTTCACCTCTCTTCTCAGCTGGATGTTCCCTCTCATTGTACATAGGGCCTTTCTAATTCTCATAGAATCAAGGGATTGGATAAAATCTTAATATTTATCTGGTTCCACTCTATCAAGATTCATTAAATTATTATTATTTATTTATTTTTAAATTTCTAGAGGGCATATGCATTCACCTGCTCAAGATAGGGAGAGGCTATGGACTAGGACCAGGCTCTTGTAAATAGTATTTTTTAAGTGTTTTTGTTTGTTTGTTTATTTGTTTGTTTGTTTTGCCATAGGGTGCATGTACTTGCCAGAGAAAAACAGAAATGAAAGGGAAAATGAGAAATCATCCCCTGGGGGGATGTCAGACCACAATCCCTTTTCCTCCACTCTTCCCTTGGGACCTTTGGCATGCACATGCACCTGGCATGATTGTCAAACTGCTGGTCCCTGGCTTGAATTGCAGTCAGCCATGTAGGAGTCCAGCACCCTAACCACAATGCTACTGCTGGCCCAACTTGTAGTTATTTTTTAAAATTGAGTCACAGATCTTAAGCTATATGAGAATGGTTTTTTTATTGCAGAGATTTGTCTTGTAACCTAGAATTACTTAAGCACTCACCAGAGTCGAACATTTAGTGTGTTCTTAAACTGTTGGTCAGAGCTGACAAAGCATGAAGTTCAACCGAGAACTCTTTCAGCAGATTGGAGCACTGAACGTACTAATGCTAGACAAGACTGGCTTTAGAATAGATGACCACCGCTGGGCCATGAATTGTGAGAGGAAGTTTCTTCCTTTTTTTTCCTCAGAGTAGTACTATACCCTCCCAGCCCACCCTTGGCTCTGCCAAGTCCCAGCAGTAGTTCGAAATAGCAAAGTGGCCTGTGGTGTGTTCCCACTTTACCCTCTGGCTCTTCCTTCTGTTTTCTAGAGCCCTTAATTCCCGACATCTGTGTGCTTACACAGCTCTAAGTCTCACACGCCCTCCTATTCAGGCCTTTTCTCCCCGCCTTCCCTTCCTCAAACCCAGAATTAGTGCTAGAAGTTAAAAAGCTCATATCCTCTACCACGAGAATAAGAGCGAGGCGCAGCTACTGCAGTGGGTTTAGTTCCTGGGTGGTCTTGAAAACACGCTGGATGTACGCAAAGGTACCAGCATCCTGAGGAATGGGAGGGCTAGGGGAAGGGGATCACAATGTAATGAGACCCTGTCAGGAGTGCCCCTGTTTCTCTCCTGCATGTGTGCTATCATTAGAGAGAGAGAGAGAAACAATCTACTACAAAAGGTAGCATCAAGAACAAAAAGTGCCACCTTGAGAGGGAGATAAATCTGGATTCCAGTCCTGGCTCTGTGACTGACTTCTAGACCTCTTTCCTGTCATCTGGGAAGTTAGAGAAATTATGCTTGGATAATTGACATCTGAGGTCCCAACTCTGTGAGTGTAAAATCAGTTCATACAAACAGATGGATAAATTATGCATGAATAATTTGTGTTTTGATGGAGATAGTTACATTGTCTGAGGTTGGGGCTTTAATCCCTTCACATGACCCTCTAGGGAGTGGGTCAGTTACAGCTTTTGCTGCCCTTGGCCACTGTTGCAAGTCCTTGCCTCCTATGGCTCATATTGTACTTCATTGCCAGACAGAAGGAGGACTGGGGTTCAGATAGCCACCTAGAATAATGTCTTCACAGTTCACCCATGATGTAGCATGTGTCAGAATTTCTGGATCAGATACTCCTTTCTTTATAAGGCTAAATAATAATATAATATTCCAACACACAAATATTTATTTATTCATTAGTCCATCCATAGACACTTGATTCCAACTTTTCTCTGTTGCAAAAAGTGTCACTATGAACGTGAGTATAGATACTATTCAAGTCTTTGCTTTCAGTACTTTTGGATACCCAAAGGTGGAATAGTCCAGCATATAATAATTCTACCTTTTTGGTTTTTGAGGAATTGGCATATTTTGTTTTCCATAGTAACTGCCATTTTGCATTCGCACTGAGGTTTTCTGACTGTCCTGTTCCCCAGTGACATTTCACCCAATGGGCTTTTTAACATTAGTGATATTTCTTGCTGATCAATAATGTAATACTCTTTTTAATACTAACAAAGAAAAATGCTTCCAATCCATTATAAGATGCAGTCCAACTTCAGCAATGTTAAAATGTGAAGGAAAAGGAACCAGCGGCTGGCATAATGGCTATGTCGTTAGACTCCCATATAGTCGACTGCAGTTCGAGTCCCGGACCCAGTGGCTTAAACTCACACAGGGTGCGTGTGCGTGCGTGACCAAGATCCCTAGAGGAGAATGAGGAGAAGGGATTGCGGTGTGGCCATCCCCCCTGAAAGGGGTGATTTCTCGTTTTCTGTCTCTCTGTCTCTCTCTTTCTGGTGAATACAAGCACCCTATAGCAAAAACCTCTCCAAAAAAAAGGAAGAAGAAAAAAAAAACTCTTAGACTCATTGAAATACAGTTGGTAAATATACTAAAACCCCCTTCAAAAATGTTTTGTGTTAAGTTGTGCAGTTTTTTTAAGCAGTCATCGTGAAGCAGGAAAGTAAAAGCGGTAGCTGTTTACCAATAGCGTATGAAAATTAAACCTTTCTGAAGGGACCAGCAGTTAGCATAATGGCTATGTCACTGGATTCCCATGTAGTCGACCGCGGTTCGCGTCCCAGACCCGGTGGCTTAAACTCATGCCGGGCACGTGTGCGTGCGTGCCCAAGATCCCAAGAGGAGAATGGAGGAGAAGGGATTGCAGCATGGCCATCCCCCCGGGGGGTGATTTCTCACTTTCTGTCTCTCTGTCTCTCTCTGTCTGGCGAACACACGCACCCTGTAGCAAAAATCTCTCCAAAAAAAAAAATATTAAACCTTTCTTAAGTATATCTTGCATCATTCCTAAAAGAAAACTTTTTTTTCCCCAAACTCATCTAATTACACCTTAGTGATACTTTAGAATAAAAGTAAAAACCCCACAGGACAGTAAACAGTATATACCAGATTTGGGTTTCTATACTTATATATTTGTGATCTCTAGTACACATTCTAATAATGTTCATTTGTTTTTTTAAAGGATTGTTCAAGTTTAGAAGAATATAACATTGCTGCAGCATTACTCCCTCTAACCAGCGCTTTCTATAGGGTAAGTTTCTTTGATCCACATAAAAGCTTGTTATGATTTATATAAATGCACTCAGTTTAATCTATTATGGAGCTACGTGGATCCTGTCCTCTTAGCGTATCTGTGGACATATCTATGTTTGTTGTAACATTTATTGCATGCTGTAAGCAGGAAATTCAATATAGAACACTAAATCATATGTTACAATAGCACCTCTATTCGTTCCATCCCTGCTTTTTCTCTCTAGCACTTTATAATGTCTGAAAGTAAGTATTGATGTGTTTACATGTTTGTTTTTTACCCTACCACAGAAAATAAAGTCTACGAGGCTGGAGTAGCGTCTTTCTTCTTTGTTTGAATGTTCCAGTCCCACTCAATAAAGACTTACTGAATGAACAAATGCATATATGAATGAACGAGTGATATCAGTGGAGGCAGGAATTAGAATTCAACTTTATTGGCAATTTCTTCTAAGAATTTTCTGCAATAGTCAAAGTAATTTTTATAATTGTCCCTTCCTCCAGTTCTCCTTCCCTTGCCTTCCCATAAGTAGATTAGTTCTTATGGCAAATAAATCCAGCATTTATTCTCTCTTTTCCTTTGAAGGATTTATAAGGAATTACATAATCACATTCTGAACATCACACTTAATACATCTTTCTAAAATGTGCAGTAAGAAACCATAGACCGATGGAAGCAGGCTAGCTCTCTTCAGATACAGGTGTACATAGTCAGCTTCATGAGGCTGTAAGTTGTGAGTCTGAATAAGGACCATGCTGTTTCTCTGCATCATCAAACTTACTACTGCAAATTTATGTTTTAGTATATAGGTCTATGAATTGTATTCTTCATTGGCTCATTTTGGCTCATTTTGTTGTGGACTTTGGCTGATTTGGTTAGGTTTAATTAGGGTTAGTTTCACTTTGTTTAGTTTGGTTTGATTTGATTTGTTTAGGTTTGTCTTTCTTTTTTTTCTTTCTTTTTAAAATTATTGCCAGAGGGCACGTGCACTTGCTATAAAAAGCAAGAAAGTGCTCCTCAGTGGGATATGATCATGGTACAGGCCCTTCCCTTCATTTCTCCATCCTTCAGGATTTGGGGCATGCATGCACACATACCCAGTCTGTTTTTCAAGCCACTACAGCTAGGACTCAAACCACAGTGAGCCTTGTGGGATCTGGCTCCCTGCACGCAGCACTTAACAGCTGTGCCACCAAGGTCAGCCCATGGTTATGTTTAGTTTGGTTTGATTCACAGTTCAGTCAGAAGCCAGACACTTCACTAGTAGTTGAATAGGGAAAAAATTTTTTTTCAATTATCAGAGAATGTGCGTGCTCAACAGAGAAAGAGAGAGAGGGAGGGAGAAAGTACCCCCTACTGGGGTGTGGTGATGCCACAAACCATTCTTCTACATTTTTTCATCCTATCAGGATTTGGTGCATGCATGCACATGTGCCCATCATGTTTTTCAAGCCACCCGGGCTAGGATTTGAACCAGGGTCAGCCCGTGGATTCAGTTTCCTTAACCACTGGGCCATGAGGCCCCCTGAACAGGGAAAGAATTATTAAGTAGGTTCTGGGGGATTAAATACCTAAGAGGTAAAAATTCTAAAGAATAGAGGGATGGAATGTAGGGAATAGCTATTATTTTCTAGGGCTCAAGCAAAGTACCTAAAAAAAGGAGCAAACTTGGAAGAGGGCTCCTTGGGCCTAAGCTGATTCATATCTTATTGGAGACATGGGGCTGTGGCCACTGGATGGCATAGAAGTTCACGGAGATGCAAAAGGCCAGGGCTGGCAAGCGGGAAGTCACCACTTGGGGTCCTACCAAAACTTCACAGATCGGAGCACATCTGGGTGTCCCACGTAACACTAGCAGGTATATGCCCCAGGAGCAAGAAAGAAGTATGCCAGAACCAGGAAGAGAACCTGCTTCCTACTCCAGTATCCCTTCAACACTTTTACTGGACAACATTGATCAAATACTGACATGACCCCTGTGAGCTTGTGTTAATAGTCTTTCTAGGGAACCAGCGGTTAGCATAATGGCTATGTCACTGGACTCCCACACAGTCAACCACGGTTCACGTCCCAGACCCGGTTGCTTAAAACTCACGCCAGGTGCGTGTGCGTGCGTGCCCAAGATCCTGAGAGGAGAATGGAGGAGAAGGGATTGCGGTGTGACCATCCCCCTGGGGGGTGATTTCTCACTTTCTATCTCTATGTCTCTCTCTGTCTGTCTGGTGAGCGCACGCGCCCTGTAGCAAAAACCTCTCCAAAAAAAAAAAAAATAGTCTTTCTAATAGAGCAGATGACAAAAACTCACACTGGTCCCCAGTTTCACCAGTGAGATGGCTATTTGTTAAGTAAGAGTAATATATACACATGATTGGAGAATTCAGCTAATATAGAAAGGTACAAAATGCAAAGTAAAAGTTCCTTCTCCCACCTTCATTCCATTTTCTCTGAACAGTTGGTTTTCTCCCTGGGGAAGGTTAGGTTGGGGGTCAGGAACCAGGCATTATTGCCAGGATATACATGGTATTTTGTTTTATTTTGTTTTGTTTTGTTTTTGTTTTTGTTTTACAAAAAGAATCAAACCATTGTAAGTCACAGTGTTTTCTCACCTTGCTCTTTTACTTAGTGCATTTTGGCGATCCTTCCTTGATAGTACTTGTACCTCGTTATTTTTAGTAACAGCTTATATATTTTATTCTCAGTGAGAAGAATGGTGGGTATGTACTTTGTATTCTCATAAGAGCAGGCGAATTCATTGGCACAGATGAAAAGTGGTATTTCTCCTTTAGCAATTTATTTAATGCAAAAGTATCCAAGATTTTCTACTTGTAACAGTACACAACTTAGTCTTAGGAATTTGTAATGTGACAAATCTTAGGAATTTGTAATGTGACAGCCACCACTAATTTAGTTTTTCTTTTTTTACCGTATACTGGAAGTTTACAGTTTCCTCACTTTTATCCATTTTTAATAAGTTAACATGTACTTCATGTTTTGTTAACTCTTATGAAGCCTTTCGGAAAGGTGGTGCCTTAATAGCCAGATTTAATTTTTAAGATTACTCTATGAAAAGTAATATAATCTTTTACACTTACTTTATTTATTGTTTATGTAATTTCATTCTCAATTCAACAAATACTATCAGATGTGCCCAGCCCCGTGCTTGTGTTTGTTGTAGAGCTGCAGATGAGTAGCACGTGGTCCTTACCCCCAAGGAAAATATCCTCTCATGTCCTTCTATGTCCATTAATCAGCTTTGACAGTAGAGGAGTCTTTTCAAAGTTAATGAATAACATTGGGTTACTTTTTTGTTTACTTAGATCCCTTTTGTTTAAAGATCATGTTTGTTAAATTAAGAGCCAGAGTATATACTAAGAATATTTAAAGCAGGTTTTTTTTTTAAGTCTGTTTCTTTTTTTAGAAGAAAAAATTATACAGTAAAACAAAATCAAATAGAGCATAAATAGAAACAAAATAAATTACCCTTATATTATTCCTTCCAAGAAATTAGCAATGAGCCATGGTGAAGACAGTGGATCCCTTTGCCATGACCCACCATTTAATACCTTCTCATCAGTGTCTGTGTCCTTGAGGGTCACCCTGTTGTAGCTCTTAGTAATCCAGGGAGTTTAGAAATTTCCTAGAATTGATCAAAGTATAATAATTCCTTTCTGTTGCTTCTTTGAGGCACATCAACTCAAAATGACCACCAGGAGAGCTAAGGACTTTCTCCTTTGCTACCCATTATTGTTTATGTTTACCCTGGAAGGAAAAATAAATACCCGATTTTCCTAAAATCTAAACACCTTAAGATATTGTAAAATCTAAACAAATTTCAAAGGTCTCCCACATGTACATGACACTTTGGGAATAGTTTAATGATTGAGAGCCTTAGTACAGAATAAGAGCATTATTTACACTCTCATTCTCAGTAGAACAACTTTCTTCTTCAAAGTTTTCATTTTATTCAGCATATAAGAACTTCTTTTTTAGTATCCAGCCATTCAGAAGATTTATTCTTATTAATAGGTTTATTGAAGTATAGTTTATATATCATGAAATTCACCCATTTTAAGTGTATATGTCAGTATTTTAGTTTATTTACAGAATTGTCAACCACTAACACAGTCTAATTTTAGAATATTTTTTCCACCCAAAAAGAAACCTGCCCATTTATAGTCACTCCCCATTTGTCCCTCCCAAGCAACCACTGATCTGCTCTCTGTCTCCGTAAGTTAGCGTTTTTTGCACTTTTCATGTCATTGGAACCATACAATACACGTTCTTATGTGTTTGACTTCTTTTACTGTTTACAGTGGTTTTGAGGTTCACTCATGTTGTTAGAAGTTTTCTTAGGACTATTCTATATTAACTAGGAATTTTCTCACCTGCAATGCTTATGTCACCTGCATATTTCAGACTGTATCTGTGTACATGATTTTACAGTTCCTTAATTTCTCTATCGCTAAATTTTAACTTGGACTTACCACTGTAAATGAGTATCTACTAGGTTAACTGACTATAAATGAACATTTTACACCTAGGCATTTTTTCCAGTTCAAAATACACGGGCCCAAGGCAAGTAAATTCAGGGTGAGGTGATAGGAAAGTCCGTTGAACATTACCTGAAAAAAAGTCATTTGTGTAAACCTACCTTAAATGATCAGTCAGAGAAACAGAAAGGGAACATCAAAGCATGGAGAGCCATAGGATTTCTCCAGCCCCCTCCGAAGTCGTGACTTCCTGCCACCACCAGGCCTTAGCAGTAATTCTTCACACAACCCCTGTCCCACAGAGTAAATAAGCTAAAATGTGTTATCTGCTTTCTTTATGTCAAAGCCCGATATTTCTTGTACAAGTCTATTTACCTAATACAACATGGTGTAAAGAACCTAAGTCCAGAAAAAGATGACAGGAATCATAGTATGAGAGCTGTTGAATTCTTAGTAGGTACAGGATGCTACTTTTGACTTGTAGTACTGACTCTAACCCAAAGAAGTACC